ACTACTTTTTTATGTTTTATATAAATGAACTGTCAAAATAGCTGTTTTTTCAAGATGTGTATGCTGGTTTACAGTGTGGCATTTACTGCTATTGTTTATCATTTTCTAGATATCAGTAAGAAAGTTTTGGCTTTTCGTTTGACTATGGGTTTAAATATTAATTAATTATTATTAAATTATTTTCAATATGAAATATACTGAGTATGATTAGAATTTTTAGACTGAAATTCTCTGTATATAAAATTCTGTTTTTCAATGAACAAATGTATGCAGAAATAAAGGTACAGGCACTGTAAATAAATGCAAAACCAGCCTTCCAGGACTCAGCTATTCATTTGTACAAAATACAAAATTTTATAAAGCTCAGAGTTAGTAGGCTGTAGTATAGACATCAGAGAGGTATGCAGCTTTTAAAATTTCTTTTTATTTTTTTAACGATTCATCATTTTTCAGTTATTTAAAATGAATTATTAGCAGAGTTATGTATAAAACTTCTTATAGACCTGATTTGGTTGATATGATAATTTTATGTTGAATCATGGTCGAGTAAAGATTGCAAAACCAGAAGTGCCACACAAGGGATGATGTAGTTTGATGAAATGTAATGCTTGTCATAATATGTGAGAAGAAAATGAGATTGGCTTTGGGAAAACAGGATCAATTTGAAACAAATGCATATATACTGTTATTTGTAAGTTGACCACATACTGTATTGTATCACCTTAAAAAATAGAAGCAGAGAATACGGTAAGGCCATCTTTAAATCAAGCCTTTAGAGCAAAACTACATTAAAAATATATTCAGTTTTAGTGATGAGTGGGTTATCCAACATACTCTGGCAGGTTATACCAGCCTCTGAGACAGGTGGTATATTAAGTAACCTGTGGTCACCTATTCAATGAAAGGGAAAGGGCACATTGAAGAAAGAAACATGCAAACAAATAAAGTCAAAGTATTTTTAAGCAGACAAAGACAAATAATAATAAAAAAGATTGACACTAGAGAACGAAAAACGAGGGCAGAGGGTTTGCAAATCCAGACTGTCTATACATGCTAAGGTGACTTTCAGTCTTCTCAGTCTGGTACACTTAATTCATTTTCTATTTGTTATTCTATCGGCAACCATGCTCCTACACCATGCATTTGTCAGCATTGAATTCCATTTGCTTCGTGTCAGAAAACCATATATAAAGGCTTTCTACTATTTTTTGTTGTCATTCTTTGCCACAGCTCTGAACCTTGGAGTATTGAGTGTGCAGGGAATATGAGAACAAGTATGGGTATATTTTAAAGCTTCATCAAAGTGAGGAATGTTGCCTTTGAACTCATCAAGGAATGATGTATGTGTGGGAAGTTGGTCTGTTGGATCTTTTTTGCTTTCATGTAAAACTTTATACTTTCCAGTATTTATGCAAAAAATAAATGACTACCTATTAATTGGATTTCTTTAACTTTCTAAAAGGTCCTCTAACCTCAGAAGATTCTATCTATATAGAGCACCACTTTCTAATAGTACCATGTTTTTAGCAGAAAATGTCTTTAATTCTGGATTTGAAAACCAGCAGGGATTTACATGGTTCCAAAGACTGTCAGGTCACTGGACGTCTGTGAACAGGTTTGTAACAGGCCTAATAATGAGCTAGTCTGTTATTAAGAATCAAAATATAGTAAGCAAAATCCTGCCCTTACTGCTATCAAGAATTCTACTTCTGTCTTCAGCAGGCTCAAATTTTTCACCCAGTTACATTTTTTGCAGAAGCAAAACCTGCATTTTTTTATTACTGAATGAAAAATATTTTGTTTATTGCATGTAGAGCTAGCCTTGTGTTTCAGGCCATGTTAAGGAATGATCAAAACTGACAGAATAAAGAAAATAATAAAAAGGTTATACCCTCAGCCACTAAACCTACCCAATATCCAGGAACCAAGGTACATTAACTCACATGAAATTACTCCCATTTGACTACTGCCTGTAGTGGAACTAATTCAAGTATCTCCATGTGCCACTGCAAATTCAGTGTAGAGATGATGTCAAAGAACTTGATATAGCTCTGCAGTACCCTCTATCTTCAGATGAAACTTGATGTGCAGAGAATATTGAACTGCAGAGAATCAAGCAAACTCCTGTTTTCCCTTTGGTTGTAAGAAATATGTCAGTGGCTGTCATACACAGCATACACAGCAAATTCAAACTTCCAATTTAGCAAGCTCATAGATTAGCTCAGAAGTTGTTTCTTCTTGTGTAAAATAGGTAAAATCCATCAATGATGTAATTGGGATGCTTGAGTTGACACAGCCATCAGAGATACCACACTCAAAGGATTTCATTACAGTAAAGGAAAAAAATGTTTTAAAATTAAATGGACTCCTTTAATCTTCACTAAACAGTCCCCGTATTTCAGCTGCTCTGAGAATATCTAAGCAGACAGTTTAATAATTTAGATCTAACAAATCTTTTTATGATAATGAGTTGGATCCATTCTATCAGAATCTTTCCAGACAGATTTTTTTTCTCTGTAGTTCCTAAACTTTGGTGTTTAAGAAAGCCTGAATGTATGGAAGAATAGAAATATTGATTTTAATAACTATAAGATTTGAAAGTATGCCACACTCAATTTCCTAAACTCAGACTTCCTAGCAACTCTGAGCAGACTGCAAAAATGTGATTCTGTTTTTAGGAGTGATAGAAATAATCAATGAAACCTAGATTTAGCTTTTCATTGAAATAATTGCAATTAGTTCTTGCAAATATTTAGTAACGTATTCAGTACATTAATGTACGTAAGTATATATATAGATAGAATATACATATAAATCATAGAATCAAAAAGTGGTTTGTCTTGGAAGGGACCCTTAAAAACCATCTGGTTCCAGTGATAGGAACTGCCCATAGGCAGGGACACCTTCCACTAGAACAGGTTGCTCAAAGCCCCATCCACCTGACCTTGAACACATGGTGTATCCACAGCTTATCTGAGTGACCTGTTCCAGTGCTTCAGCACTATTATTATAAAAAATTCCTCCCCGACATCTAATCTAAGTCTACTTTCTTTTGGTTTAAAACCGTTGTCCTTTATCCTGTAACTACAGGCCTTGGTAAAAAGTCTCTCTCCATCTTTCTTATAAGCCCTTTATATATTGAAAGTCCATAATAAGGTCTCTCCAGACCCTTTGCTTCTCCAGGCTGTAAAGGCCAGCTCTCTCAACCTTTTTGCACGGAAAAGGTATTTCAGCCCTCTGACCGTTTTCATGGCCCTCACCTGGACTCTCTCCAACAGTTCTGTGTCTTTCTTGTACTGTGGACCCCGGAGCTGGTTACAGGTATGCACAATATATAAAAATACATGGAAACAAACTTATACCAGAGAAAATATTTGTGGTACATATATATATGCATATATATATGTAATAAAAATAAACATAATATCTTTTCTTCAAGATGGTGACATTTGAAGAATACCTTCTGAGCTTGCTTCTGGGACTAAAAATGGTAAGTAAAATGTTAAGTTAAACGGGTATACAATCACAATGTAAGAAATAAATGCCTCTCTCCCCTTACATTCAGTATAAAAGTAAAAACAGCCATATGATTTTTAATGTTCATTAGTTTGGAAAATGTTTTAAAGTGCCCTTTGCACCTGGATTCTCATCAGTTCAAGAAACAGCTCTAGGTTATTTATGCATGAGATATCCCAGTTTCTCAGACTTCCTGATTAGTATTTTCTTCATTCCTCCAGGTCACATCATAGAAAATATATGCAGCTCTTTCATAAGCAATATTTGCACTGATAACAATGTTTGTACCATACGGGGTCCTGAAGACCACATCCTCAAATTATATACCTCACTTCCATGAAAACACATAATTTCCACTTAAATCTGTTGTGGTCTCTCACAGTAGATATACTAAATGTATGGGATTGTAAAGAACTAAGAGATTTATCTATAGCTCTCATAAATTAATCTCCACATAATAATTGTTTAGATTTCAACTCCTGTATGAAATGTAGGATTTATTTCTTTTTCCTGGAAATAAAATAACAGAAATGTATAATGGTTTGGGTTGGAAGAAACCTTAAAGATTATCTAGTTCTAATCTCTTTGCCATGGGCAGGGACACCTTCCACTAGACTAGGCTGCTCAAAGCCCCATCCAGCCTGGCCTTGAACAGTGCCAGGGATCTGGCAACCACAACTTCTCTGGGCACCCTGTGCCAGTGTCTCACCACTCTCACAGGGAAGAATTTATTCCTCATATCTAATCGAAATCTCTCTCCCTTACAGTCATTCCCCCTTGTTCTGTCATTACATACCATTGTAAAATTCCCTCTCCAGCCTTCTTGTAGGCTCCCTTTAGGTATTGGAAGACTGTTACAAGGTGTTCCCTAAGCTTTCTCTTCTCCAGGCTCAGCAAACCCAACTCTCTCAGCCTGTCTTTATTGGAGAGGTGCTCCAGCCTTCAGAGCATCTTCATGGCCTCCTCTGGACTCACAGGAGCCCATGCCCTTCTTGTTTCGGGGGCCCCAGAGCTGGACTCAGTACTCCAGTTACAAGCATATGTTGTTGGGACGTCAACCAACAGCCCAAGTCTTTCTCATCATTCCTGCTCTCAATAAATAAAGCTTATATATATATGTTTGTGATTCACACTGCAAGTAGCATTTTCTAGAAGCTCCTATCATTAGTGCTAAAAATACTCTACCATCTGTCTCCTTCTCTCTTCACTCATTTGTTTTGCTGTCTGGAGTCATGCCATGTACTTATTGAAGAAAGAGAGAAAGTAAACATGAGGAATGTAGATATTCAGATATTCTGCAAACACTCTACCTTCTGTCTTCTGTCCCCTGAGTAAGCTTCTTTTGCATGAAATCACATGCTTTGATGATGTATACCACCAGTAATAACACAGACTAAATGTAACTCAAACATCAGGTTGTATCTCCTGTCAAATTGTTTATTAACTAGCACATGGAAAATCTTCATTTTCCTTTTCATCTTCCTATGAGGGGAGAAAAAAACAAACAGCAAAACCCCCAAACCAAATCCATAAAACAAAAATTGGCAACAAAAGCCCTCAAGGTTTTATCCTTTTTCCAGTTCTTTGTTTGTCATTCTGTTACGGACACATCTTTTCATAACTATCTTGGGCTTCTTCCTCTTCATAGGTCCTTTAATAGCATCCATATAAAAACTACTGCAGGGGTTAAACAACATGTTTCAAGCACATAAATCAATACATAGATACAGCGGCTACTAAGCTGTGTAAGAATTAGTTGAATAATGTAGAAATTATGTCATGTTTACTTAAGCAATTTAAGAAATCAAGTCGATCAAATTTATAGATTTGCATGTTAGAAAAGAAAAGGAAGAAGCATTCCACTGTCTGGTAAGATCTCTTGCATTACATGAATATTAAAACTGGTTGTAGTGTACTCTAAATCATCAATCCTGTATTGTCTGACTAAATTAGAATAGATAATTTTAGAATGCCATACTAATTCAAGCAGTCTGAGTGATTAAGAATACACCTTACATCTTGGTTAGGATAAATCACGTTGTTAAAAAACAACCCCCACGTTTTTCTTTTAGTGTTGATTTTTTAATTTTTTTTTCTTTTCCTAGGCAAAAACACCCTACTCAGGAAGAATTCAGTGGAAAAAATACAATGGATATATTAAGAGTTTTGGTATACATGGTTTATCAGTACATTCTTTTCAATAGCAGTGAAGGGAAAATGACACAAACCTGTAAGAGTGAGTCTTTCCTTTGGCTTCACTGGGGTTTGTAAGCTCAGGTATGCACAGCAAAAAATATATTGGTAGCTTAAGAGCTGAAATTACTTTTGCTGGCTTCTTACATGGCAATGCAAAATAACCATTATGGGTGCTAAAATACACACAAAAAGAAATATATGCATGAGTATACACACACACACACACATGTATACATATAGGTTGTAAATTTTCAGGAAATAGGGTCATTTTCTACAGCATAACATGGATTACTTCTAAGATGTATAAGTAGAATTTTCCAGTCCTTAACCAGAATATCCACAAAGGTCTTTAACTGCCTGCTTAGTATCTTACTAAAATTGTAATCAATAGAACCAGTTGAAAATGCAGTCGCATTACTGACTCATCTACCTGTATTATAGCATAGCTTTCTCTGGCTACCAGACAATTACCCACCTTCAGTTATTTCATCTGCAATGAGTCAACAATGAACTTGGTATTTTAAAAACAGTTACATCAATGTGCAGCTATCTGATCTATACTACAGGCAAATGCCACTATAGCAGAAATAAATGAAGACAAAAATGCAGATAAATGCAGATAAACCTTTAAAATTAATTATTTATAATACATAGATACTTTTTTTTTTTACTTCTGTTTTAGAAACCTTAATTAGAATTCTTAGAAACTTTGGAAACAAATAATTTATATAAGAACCCATCTCAGAAGATACCATGATGATGTCACAATTTGTTATTACTTTCAAACCTGCAAGCAATTTGTTAGAAACACACTTAAAACTAATCTATTCCTCCTCTAAAACCGTGGTCTGGCAGAAAAACACTTGATAAGCCTTGAAATACAGGAACATGACCATAGCATAAATATGAGGTTTTTCTCTGTTAAAGCAATACATTTGAGAATCAGCAGAGCACTTGCGGGAGAGATGAATATGCAGTGATAGATGAGGATGTGTGCTTAGAGTGTGCTAATGAACAGCAATCCATTAGTGTAAACATATAATTTCTCAGTCATTACCTGTATATTAACATTTGATTTCCTATCTTGTCAACATCAAGTGGAAACTAAATGTAGCTGGAGAAAATTTCGTTTGCATGACTTCTCAGTAGAAAAAAAAAATAGATATCTTAAGTCTTAAAAAAAAGCATAAAAAGGCACATTAATTTTTACCTTACTAAGAGGTGTTCTAATGAAGTCTTTGGTAGTGGACTGCTTTATTGGTAGGACAGCTTGAACTGTGTCTGCCTTCTGCATGATCACTGAACCTTATTTTCTGTTGCTGATTCTCTTTTAACCTCCTCAAATACCAATTCCTTTACAGTATCTGTAAAATAAAAGTGACAGAGGTAAAAAATGCTGTCTAAAGCCAGTAGATATTGAAACTGTGAAGATAGATATTTAACCTAAGACCCTGTATTCCTGGGAAATAAACCTACCAGCAGTGAAAGTGAGTAACAAATAGGATTACAAACACTGAAATTCAGCTGCTGAAAATAAATGTTCATAATAAAGCCTGTAAGGAAAGTAGGAACAACTAAACATGGGACTAGATCTTTCAGTACATTTCACAGGAAAAAAACAGCATTTAATATCCCCAGCTCTCCAGATTTCTTCCTTTCTGATGTCAATATGTATTAAAGAAGAAGAGTTTTTTAATAAACATTTACTCTTTATACTCTTAAGATCCCGTTTCCTGGCTGGAACAGTTGTAGTCTTTTCTAATTTACATATGAGTATTTTTTTCTTGCAAGCCACTAGTACAGATTTGAAGAAGGCTAGATATCTTGGGTATGGATGGCTGAAACACTTAATGACTCTAAATAATTAAATTTTAGTTGTCAAAACATTTTCTTTTATAATTAATATGTAAGAAAATCAGCAATAGTATTATATGTACCACAACCAAAAGAACTTTAAAAGGGAATGCTCAACTATGTTGTATACATTCCCATACAAAGGACGGCATTTCCCTGGTTAAAAACTGGTTTTAAGCTCCAAGAATGTTAACAGTGAACCAAGAAATGCCAAAATTTGCACTGTTGTGTAATTATTGGCACACTGCAGAATAATTTCTTGATAAAATACAACTTTGTGAACAATACCATCACATGGATATTTCAATTTTCAGAGAAATTTACTGTTTGCGGGTTTTGCTTTATTTCTTTTCTGATACTAACCTGGGTTCTCAGTGAATGCACTTCAAAATCAAATATCTTTTTCTGGCCTCTGTTGGTAATAATTAGATCCCTAGAGAAGTATCTCTAGAAAGTTTTATATTCCCTTCAAAACAGATCAAGAAAAAAACCCAGCCTTTTTCTGCTTTCTTTTAGAATTATTTTAATGCTATTTTATTTTAGTCTAATTTCATTGTGTGGTAAACAAAGGGTTTAGAAATTGAATTAACTATTACTATTAACTATTAACTATTTAATTAAGAATTAAATTAACTACTTACTTTTGTATATTTGTAGAATGACATGGAAAACCTTTATTAAGTTTGATTTATTTTGGGGACAGTTATTAAATGCATTACTGCTACAATATCAGATAATGAATCAGTAATAAAGTTAATGACACTCTGTAAAATTCCCTAAATAGGTCTTTGCAGCCATGATATTAAATAATTAAATGTTAATAATTATTAAATAATTGCTGTCAAGCCATTAGAAACAATGTAGCAAAATATGGATTTAACTGCAACTAATTGGTATTCAAGGTGCTTAGAGGAAAAGGAAAAATATAGCTGTTTCATACCGTAATGCATGCAAACACCTTCAAAAGATGAAGATCTTTTGTGATTACACTGAGATGTGATTTTAATATTCTTTTTCAAAAAGATTATGCCACTTGAAGGAAGAGAAGACTCTTGAGGCTCAAACAGAAATACCCATATGGAAAATACTGATACAGCAAACCTGCTTCCCAGTACGCACTGTTCCCACTCCACACTCTGACAGGAAAGCAAAATGCTTCACGAATGACAAAACCAATGTGAAGTGGAGATTCCGAAATGAAAGAACACTACATAAAGCAAAGAAAATGTATTACATGCATGAGAGGAAAAAGAACAGGTGGAATAAAAAAGGAAAGCTGAAATCAGAAATCAATGTTACCACAAAATATTGTCAAAAAAAGGAAAAAATTGAAACTTCTGCATCAGTTACAAAGAGAAAGCTGGCAATTCTACCTTCATATAGTTACATTAGAATCAAAACCCGCTTAGTTTCCCACAAGTTTTCAGTGACACTGTGTCACAAAGAGTAGCAGCAGTGTAAGATTTGTGATGTCTGTCTCAAGCAATAAAGAAAATATCACAAATAAAGCAGACAGAAAGTATGCTGAATTAAAAGTTAGTTATTTATAATACTTATAAATACATAGTAATGAATGGTAAAAAAAAAAGAATACCTGACAAATTTTTGGTAAATTCCAGTAATGGCTTGACCTTCAAAACCTGAGATATTTTTCTTTTTATATATTAGTTTTGTCGTATCTTCATTCAAAAGCAATTTAAATTATTTTTAAAAGTTAAATTAAAGATTAAATAATGTCTGTAATTAGTATTTAGGAATTCTTATTTTTGACTAATATGATCATTTAATATATTTCAGTCCTCAGAAAATTTCTGTTTTGTTTTGAATAAAATAAATCTTTTTTCAGATAACATCTCTGAATAAAAAAAGCTATCAGATATACTTCCATGTCAAAAAAGTGGAGATTTTTTACTCATTAGAAGGTGGGATTTTTCATGAAAAATTTCCTAATCGTTATTCTTTTAAAGGAAATGTTTTTCCATCATTCGAAATGATGGAAAGAAGACAGCAAGCATGACATACCCTCTTTATTTGAAGATTAAGGGAGTGCTTTTTAATGTAAAAAATATTTCCAACAGTAATTATTTTAATCTATATCCTGGAAACAAAATACTCTGTGAGTTTTAATACTGTTTTAATACATACTTGTAATGAGATATTACAAAGAACCTCACTGAACGTACACAAGGTAATAATTTATTTGGTTTATAATGTTTAATGAATGATGCTCTTTTTAACAGAAAAAAAATTGTACTTTTATTTTTTAAACACATGATTTATATAAAATATTTCTTTTGTTCACTTCTTTTCAGTACTGCTAGCAAGTATTTACTATATTTGTAAAAATAAATTTTTCAAGCACTTATGTACTTGCTATGGCAAACTGTACAAGTTATACATCTAGATCTTGTACCTAGTAAACAAATCATAGGACTTTCTTGTTGAAGAAGAAACATGAGTTCAAGCTCACTTTTTAAAATTTATGGTATTTTTCAATGTGATAAAAATTCATAACAAAAGCATGGCAGACAAAGCCTTAATATTTTCTGAATTAACATATTTCCAGTAACATATTATATGTTAGTACTGAAGAGTTAGTTATAGGAAGCATCAGAAAAAATAAGCAATGTGAGACACATTTTCTGTGAAAAATAATAGGAAGGCTATGAATTTATTCAGTAAGAAATAAGTTAGAAAATGAGGAAAAAAAACCAAAAAGTTAAAAAATACAGAAGATATTTTTTGTCATTAGTAAACTGCTGATGAATAAGATCATTGGCTTGACAGGTATTTTTTTTGCACTGCATAGAAAAGGCATATGCTAATATTGGTGAGTGGTATTGTAAGGTTTAATCTGCTTTTAATATTCATGCGAAATACCTTCATGTGACACATCACATGAAATAGCATGACTGGAAATACTTGAAGTGTAGGCATGAAAAGTAAAAAAAGAAAAAATCAAACAAAAAAACATAACATAAAAATAAGCCTAAACCCCAGGATTTCTTAAGCTGCAAAAAAAACTGATCACAAATTAAAAAAAAAAATAAAAAAATTCTCCATCCTACAATACACATAAGCAAGAGGTGCATGTCTATGTCAAAACCCACTGAACAGAAATTTTATCACTTTCAATGACTTCAGTCTAAGATAACTTACTCAGCTTTGCTGCATAAACCAGGCTACTGCCTGTCTTTTATCTCTTGAATAAGACATTCACTCCATGAGCAAATTCTGTGAACTCATGATAAAAACTTTTTTTTTTCTTAAGATAAATATGCAATAAGAATCCATTTTTAGTACTTTGAGGAATGAACCTTATGCACAAGACATGCAGGAAACAACCGTAACCTGGGCTGCATCAAAAGGAGCGTGACCAGCAGGTCGAAAGAGGTGATCCTGCCCCTTTACTCTGCTCTCATGAGAAATCACCTGGAGTATCGTGTGCAGTTCTGGTGTCCTCAACATAAAAAGGACACGGAACTGTTGGAACAAGTCCAGAGAAGGGCCACGATGATGATCAGGGGACTGGAGCACCTCCCATATGAAGATAGGCTGAGAAAGTGGGGGCTGTTGAGCCTGGAGAAGAGAAGGCTGCATGGAGACCTCATAGCAGCCTTCCAGTATCTGAAGGGCGCCTATAGGGATGCTGGGGATGGACTATTCACTAGGGACTGTAGTGACAGGAGACGGGGTAACAGGTTAAAACTTAAAGAGGGGAAGTTTAGATTGGATATAAGGAGGAAATTCTTTCCTGTTAGGGTGGTGAGGCACTGGAATAGGTTGCCCAGGGAGGTTGTGAATGCTCCATCCCTGGCAGTGTTCAAGGCCAGGTTGAACAGTCTTGGGTGGCATGCTCTAGTGTGAGGTGTCCCTGCCCATGGCAGGGGGGTTGGAACTTGATGATCTTAAGGTCCTTTCTAACCCTAACTATTCTATGATTCTATGGCATGAAACTAATAATGAAGCATGTCTTCAGTCACGTATCCATCCATTTAGTATGACTTTCACAGTCACCTTAAAGTACAGCTGTCTGAGGCCTGAGTACATAAAACTATAATGTCAAAGAATAATGATTAGTAAGTTAGTATTCTTCCCTATTTTAAATCTATTCTCTTCACTTTGTTGTCCTGCATCAAATTAGAATCATAGAATCATAGAATAGTTGGGGTTGGAAAGGACCTTAAGATCATCAAGTTCCAACCCCCTTGCCCTGGGCAGGGACACCTCGCTCTAAACCATATTACCCAAGGCCTCGTCCAACCTGACCTTGAACATTGCCAGGGATGGAGCATTCACAACCTCCCTGGACAACCTATTCCAATGCCTCACCACCCTGACAGGAAAGAATTTCCTCCTTATATTCAATCTAAACTTCCCCTGTTTAAGTTTTAACCCATTACCGCTTCGCCTACCACTACAGTTCCTAATGAAGAGTCCATCCCCAGTATCCCTATAGGCCCCCCTTTAGATACTGGAAGGCTGCTGTGAGGTCTCCAC